CTTTCTTTTTTTTAAGATTTTATTTATCTATTTGAGAGAGACAGAGCTCGAGCCCGAGCGGGGGTGGGGGCGTTTGGGGGATGGGAGGGAGGGGGAGAAGGAGAAGCAGACTCCCCGCCAAGCCTGGGAGGGAGCCTGACTGGGGGCTCGATCCCAGGACCCTGAGATCATGACCTGAGCTGAAAGCAGACACCCAACCAACTGAGCCACCCAGGTACCCCTTTAAGTTTTTCTTTTAATACTAAATTCCCAGTAAGAAAAACCTTGCATTTAACTGAGCTCTGCTTATCCTCAAATTTCCTTTTCAGTGGCCCAGGTTGAAGGCCCAGCAGATACTTTTCCAAGGTGAGAAATAGCGAATTATGTTAATTGACATTTAAAGAAAATAAAAATCTCCTGTCGACGAGAAAACAGTTCCCCTGCCTATGATGAAAGCAATTTTGTTAAAGTCCTACATCATTTCATACACCTTGCTTGCATCCTAATATCTGCTTATGGAAAACAACAACAATAATCTATACATTATATGAATTACATTTCTCTCTTTTTATAATTAACTTTTTATACTACAAATATGCATGCGTACTTAAAAATTCAAACAATACAGAGGTGTATACAGTAAAAAAGTCAAAAATCTCTATTTCTCTTTCCCTCAGCCCCATAGGGGTGGGACTCCCTACATCATACATCACCCCTCAGGTAGGGACGTTCACCGTGTGTTCTTCTAGAATTTTGTCTATGGATATGTGTCTGTTTGTACATACAGGTGTTGTGAATTTATTTTTCTACACATACTGGAGTGTGCTAAATATATTGTTCTGAAAGTTGCTTAATATTGAGTCAGAAACATCTTCCATGTCAGCACATGTAACACTGCCTCACCTCCTTAGAAAATGTAGTTACCACTGTACCAGAAAGTATTCCACTCTTTCCCAGTTTAATGCAAACAATGCTGCCATAAATATCCACCACACTCAGTGACATGTACCGCTGAGTCAAGGTCTAGGAGCATGACTATTTTGTTAGGTGTTGGCAAATCGCTCTCCATAAAAGTCTGTAACGATGAACACTCCCACTGATTGAATATGAGTATATTTTTATTTATGTTTGTGAATTGGGGGGATGAAAATCACATATTATTATTGTTTCATTTGTATGTTCCAGACTATTTGTGGGGCTGAGTAACTTTTCATCTTTCTTGGCCATTTGTATTTCCTCAACTGTCAACTGCCTTATGTTTTCCCTTTTCTGAGGGGCGGGAGCCTTAATTTTTCTTGTGATTTCAAGAAGCTCTTTATATATTATGGTTCTCATATGGTTCTGTGAAAACATTTCCCCTCTCTCTGCTGCTTGTTATTTAGTTTTGTTTATGCATCATTCATTAAATAGAAGTTTAAAAAAATATTTCTAAGAACAGGTGCATCAATCTCTCCTTTATGGCTGTTAAGGTTTGACACTCCTTTGGAAGGCCATCTTCACCTCCAGGATAATTTTAAAAACAAAATAAAACACTATACTTTCTTCTAGTACTTTTATGAAACTTTTTTTATATTTGGATTTTTAATTCATTTAGAATATGCTTCTGAGTGTGGTATGAAACAAAAATCCAAGATAACATCTTGGTGATGGTAGAATTTCTATCCTTTTCCCATCTTTAGTGGAAATCTCCTAATGTCTCATTATGATGAGATCCCAGGATCCTGGGATCAAGCCCAACATTGGGCTCCCTGCTTCTCCCTCTCCCTCTGCTGCTCCCCCTGCTTGTGCTCTCTTTCTCTCTCTGTCAAATAAATAAAATCTTTTTTAAAAAATAAATAAATGTAATAAAATAAAGAATGCATATTGAATTTTGTCAACTGTCTTTTCAGACTCTGATAAGCTCATTATTTGATTATTCTTTAACTGAGTGATGATTAATTGCATTATTTTACCCTCTAATGCTGAAATTTCATTATTTTCCTGGGAGTTACATTTCTAAATTTTTCAATATGTCTCAAATTTCTGATACAAAAAAAAATGATATTTTTATCCCATGTGATTTTAAAAGATTTGAAAATGAAAATCTAATTATTCTGCTTTTTCAATGTCCAAAGCCCTGTTAGTTACACAGAAGAGGATGTTTTTATTTTTGTTTCTTTCTAAAAAATCAGTGCTCAAGTTGGTATGGTAGCATGTGGCCCAAGCATTCCATTTACTCTCCTGAAATTTTTTTTTCTCGACACCTTGATTCACATTCAGTTGAAGGTCATCTTGTGATGCAGCAGGCATTTATTAAGCAGCTTTCATGTGGCCAGGTTCTGGGCTTGCTGTTCCAAGGGATTCAAAATGCCTGAGAACCAGTCAGTCCTCGATCCACTGAAGCAACACCAAATTATCTGGGTCTCATCTTTTTATAAACTCAGAGAGAAGTCACGTGTATGCTACCTACTTACCAAAAGGCACAGTATCAAATGTTAATGGCAGCCATGATCTGTGTTTCTGCATATGGACCTCTCTAGGTATCATCCATGCATACCATCACACTATCCGTGCATAGTTAGGTGACTAAGAAATTCCTTTTAAATAAAGCTGAGGATGATGAGAGTGTTAAAAAATAATGAGAACTGGCAGCCACAAGAAGCATTGCTGAAATCAATGCAGGACCGAATCTGTACATAAGGTCATTTAAGCCATCCTTGTATTCTCACCACTGACGTCCAAATGGTTTTGAAATTTCCTCAATGACCTCTCAACCTGAACTTAGTTCTTGTTTTTACTTGTCAGAATCTGTCAACGGTTCAAATAACATTAACTGATCTGTTTCAACCTGTCAATAATTGAGGATGAACTTCCCATACTTACCGAAAACAGATCTTAATTTGTATCAATACCTAATTTACCAATCAAATATAATTTTTTCAGGCCCAGTTATTTGTGAAAACTTTTGATATAACCTTTCAATAAGTATAAATCAAACAGGAATGATCTCGCGTAAAGAACTTTTCTCTGAGCCAATAGGAAATTAAATGAATAATAACAAGAGAAACATATTGAAGAAAAAATAAGGAAATTACATTTTTCTAAAGTCATTTCATTTCCTAGGTACATCACTAACTCCCTAGTTTTTTTCAATAAGTATTTGTTAGAATGGTGAGAAGAGTAAAGTGCAAGAATCTTCATCTTTTAAAACCTGTATATGCTGCTTTTTTCAAAAGCAGATGTTTAAAGTAACACACAATAGGGGTGCCTGGCTGGCTCAGTTGGTAAAGCAGGAGACTCTTGATCTCCAGGTCGTGAGTTCAAGCCCCACACTGGGCCTAGAGCTTGCTTTTAAAAAAAGAAAGAAAAATAATACATGATATGGGATGCTGAGCTATGCATTCTTTGAGAAGACAGAATTTATTGAACAGAACTGTAGAAAAAAATAATTGAGGAATCATTACTACTTTACCGAGGAGACTTGCAATCATTCTGAAGTTTTTACTGAATATATACTTTCCAGAACTTTATAAACTAAGGATAATTTTTGTCTAGAAAAGTAAGAAGAATATTTGCTTACAATGCAAAATTAGATTTCAGCTGTAAAATAAAGCCTATTAAAAACCAAAATCAGCAAACAACAAGAGCAAAAATTCCAAATACTTCTTCAGCAATTCTAATAAAAGAATATATTTATTTATCAAAAATTGTTTTAAAAAATTTTTTCCAGTTGTTTGTTTTTTTTTTCTCTAAAAAGGATGACAATTAAAGAGACTCAGATATCTGAGTGGACTATTAGTGGGTTACAAAGAAATTATAATTGGAGACAACAGTAAGAGCTATAAAGACTTCTCTTTTCTATTTCTCTTTTCAAGTTGTCTTTTCTCCACAATTATCTTTTCTAATTAGTAAGTAAGTGATAGAGAGGAAATGGGTAAATTCAAAATGTTAAATTCCTTTAGTTTCCAAATGATCACCTGTTTTTAAAATCGGTGCTTTTCTTTGTTTTGTTTTTAAGTAGGCTCTGCGCCCAAAGTGGGCTCAAACTCACCGCCCCGAAACCAGGAGTTGCATGCTTTACCGACTCGTCAGCCAGGTGTCCCTCTTTGTTTTGAATTGGTTCGTTTAAAATTAGGAAAAGTACAAGCTTGTTAAAAAAAAATTTTTAAGATTTATTTGTTTATTTTAGAGAGTGTGTGTGGAGTCGGGGAGGAGGGGCAGAGGGAGAGGGAGACAGAGAATCTCAAGCAGACTCCCTGCTGAGCGTGAGCCAAGTGCCAGGCTCAATCTCACGACCCTGAAATCATGACCTGAGCTGAAATCAAGAGTTGGACGCTTAACTAACTGAGCCACCCAGGTGCCCCTGAAAAAAAATTTTTTTTCTAAGATTTTATTTATTTATTTGTCAGAGAAAGAGAGAGCACAAGCAGGGGGAGAAGCAGGGGGAGAGGGAGAACCAGGCTCCCCACTGAGCAGGGAGCCCGATGCGGGACTCGATCCCAGAATCCTGGGATCATGACCTGAGCTGAAGGCAGATGCTTAAAGACTGAGCCACCCAGGCGCCCCCCAAAAAATATTTTTAATATAAATGTACATGTAGTAAAATGTGAACATCCTACTCTCCCCTCACCTCATTTCCATTGTCACTTTTCAGGGCTTGCCCTCTTAACAGTTTTTGTATTTATGTTTCCAGATTCTTTTCTGAGCAGATAAAATACAGTTTTTCTTTTTTTTTTAAGATTTTATTTTATTTATTAGAGAGAGAGAGCACAAGAAGGGGTAGGGTCAGAGGGAGAAGCAGACTCCCTGCTGAGCAGGGAGCCCAATGCAGGACTCGATCCGGGGACTCCGGGATCATGACCTGAGCCGAAGGCAGTCGCTTAACCAACTGAGCCACCCAGGTGCCCTAAAATACAGGTTTTCATATGAATATAAATATATGCTTATTTTACATAATGTTCTACCAATTTTTTTTTTTTAATATGCCAAGTTCACACAGCTGGAAAGGCCAGGGATTGAGACATGACTGTTGGTCTGACTCCAGAACTAACTTTGTTTCCAGAGCACAGTTGCCAAGGACATGGCACCAATTTGGGAAGATTGGTCTAGCAGTATTGTAGAGTTATATGACATCAGCTGAATTCTTGATTCAATCAAGACATTCTTTTGTTTTAATAGCATTTTCTTTTATTCTTTAAGTAGGCTCCATGCCCAACATGGAGCTTGAACTCACGACCCTGAGATCAAGAGTTGCAAGCTCTACTGACTGAGCCAGCCAGGTGCCCCCAATCAAGACATTCTTATTTATTTATTTATTTATTTATTTATTTATTTATTTAAGGAGGCTCCACACCCAGCGTGGAGCATAGCACAGGGGCTTAAACTCACCACCCTAAAATCGGGACCTGAGCCAACATCCTGAGTTGGATGCTTAACCAACTGAGCCACCCAGGTGCCCTAAGACATTCTTGATTAGAGACTTGTAAATATCCAACAAGCAGAAAATAAATTGTGGTACATCAACTAGAGCACATATCAATTATGAAATTATGAAAACTATGTTCCAAGATGGAAAAGTGATTGTGGCAAAATCTTAAACAAAACAAAACAAAACAGTATGGTGTTTTGTTCTGGTGATATTTCCCAAAACAGGAGAATTTTGCACCAAACCTAGGTTGATATCTTCACCTCCTATAATAAAACTACCACCTAGATTTACTGGAAATTTCCTCCTTTACAAAAAATATAAAGTCCTGTCTCCCAGGGCAGATACAACAAAAGCCTTTTAGAAACTCTAAAGTCATTAAACACTGATTATTAATTATTATTTTCCTACAGATGATGGGAAATCGGTATGGCTTGAATTGTGTCCTCTGAAAAGAGATGTTGACACTCTAATCCCTGGTACCAACGAATGTGACCTAATTCAGAAACAGGGTCCGTGCAGATGTAATCAAGTTAAGATGAGGTTATTAGGATGGGCCCTAACCCACTATGACTGACCTCCTAAAAGAGAAAAATCTGGATGGGGTGCCTGTGTGGCTTAGCCGGTTGATTGTCTGACTTCGGCTCAGGTCATGATCCCAGGGGTCCTGGGATAAGAGTCCCACATCGGGCTCCTTGCTCAGTAGGGAGTCTGCTTCTCCCTGTGCCTGCCTCTCTCTTTCTCAAATAAATAAATAACATCTTTAAAAAAAAGAGAGGAGAGAACGAACTCTGGACACAGCCACAGAGAAAGAGAACACCAAGTGAAGACACAGGCACGGAGGGAAGACTGTGATGAGACAGTTACTCTGCCATGAACCCACGTGAGGTGGGCAGGAGCGGGAAGACGGGAGGAAGGAGCCTCCCCCTGAGGCTTCCGAGTGACCATTGCCCTGCCAACACCTTGATTTTGGACTTCTGGCCTCCAGAACTGTAAGAATAAGTTTCTGTTGTCTTAAGCCTCCACATTTGTTGTACTTTGTTACGGCAGTCCTTGGAAACTGATACAGAAATCATTAAAGATGTTTAAGAGGGGTGGGGAAGACTAATATTTATTGAGAACCTCTGATGTCCCAGGCTCTGTGCCCGCGGTTTTACCTGTTTCTTTAATTCTAACAACTCTGAGAAGAAAGCATTTTACAGATAAGGAAATTGAAGCCCAGAAGCTACTATGCTAAAGTCCTCTTGGCTGGAAAGGGCTGAGGCTAAGCCCTTCCCTAAAGCCCACAGTGTTTCCCGAGCGCTATTGCCAAGGACACAGCACTGGTCTGAGAAGACTGATTCAGCAGAATTGTGGACGCTGATGTTAAACATCAGTTACAGTGCAACCTTTACCCAGGTGAACCAGACCTCCGTGTCTCCCTGGAAGATGTGTGAGTAAACAATCCCATCTGTTTGCAGATAGACCTTCATACTGAATGGGAGAAGTACAACATGGTATGTATACTGGGGTGGGCAATTCTTTCTTCAGGAAATACCAATCACAGACAATATCCTAGTATCTAACTTACTTTTTTGGGTTTTAAAAGGTTTGCTTCAAGCTTCATACTCTCCTAAGGCTTCAATGATGGCTAGCTGGTAAATGATAAAGCTGGTTTCCAGGTACACTGTTAGTTTATAAAGTCCATTTGGTGTGCAGTTAAGAAGTTAAATTCAAACTCTGGAGCCAGAATGGCTGGGTTCTAATGTGCTGAGACACATGCTGAATGGGTGGACAGTGGGCCAGATTCATGCCCCATTCCACCCTTCAGCTGGCATCCTTGTGCGGGACCCAAGCTGCCCTAAGTTTCCACCTCCCCTGACTATGGGTGGTAGTGTTCTCCACGTCTGTCACACTATCCGCCCCAAACATCACACACTAAAAAGGAAGCAAAACCGTCTGTGAGATCAAAACCATTCCGCATATTTGATACTCGTGATAGTGCTAATGAAATCATGCGTCGCCTCCATCCAAAAAAGGAAAGTAGAAACTGTAGGTATTACTCAATCCCCATAGTTTTCCTCCTGTGGGACCACTTTGGGAGAAAAGAAAGGACCACAGCAGTGTGGTACGGGGACCTGGTCAGTGGAGTCCTTACGCACTCATCCAGTTCCGCTCAGCCAGCAGGATCAGAACGTGACACCCTGGATATGGTTCTGGATATGTGTCTCTGGGAGGACTAATTAGCAGCTCATAGAGAAGAAGCCATTCTCTGGTGCCCCATTAATTACAGTGCTCCTGGCAACTCAGGTGGGCTCACATGAATGCCCGCTGCACAAAAAGGTCACATCCTAGTGTTGCTAGTCAGATCGGTGCGAGATCTTACTGCTGTTCATGGTTATTTCCCTGATAATCACTCCCCAGAGGTTGGTCTGGCTACAACCTAGAATATCTGAGCACGGTAATTTGCAAGATTTATGGAAAACAATTTTTCAGAAATGTGCTCTCAATTTTCATTGGGCAAATTCCTCTTTCTCTGGTAAGTGCTGGAGCATATGGAGCAGGTAAATGTTTTAATGGACAGCATAAAAGTAACATTTTTCTTCTGAAGTTGATGATTTGCACTGAGGGCTTCCAATCCCATTTTTTTACTATAGCAAGTGTTCAGAGCAAATTAGAGGGAGAGGGGAAAACTCCAATCTCTCAAGCTTGCTATCTCCACAGCTCAGTAATGACTGCATCATTTCACAGACTTGTATTACCCCCTCTGGTGCTCCTGTCCTTGGGGAGGAAACTTTTATTGGATTGCTCTCCCCCAGGTTTTAATCTTCCACCTGCCTCTCGTGTTTTGTACATTGAACTCATTCCTTTCTAACACAATTTAACACAATAAGATGAAAATGGCCAAGGGCAGTCTTTCCTCTGGGAGGAAAGA